TGGGTGGTTGGGAGGGAGGATAGGGAGAGTGGATACACAATTTTTTTCATAGATAGTTGTCAACTCTCTTCCCAGTTATAAGTGCAACCATTCTTCCGACCAGGAGTGACACAAGGTTGGTTATGTATATTTGAAACAATGGAAAAAAATCCCTTCATAAAATTAGTTTGAAAAATTATATTTGTGCTTCAGGAAGTACAATTCATCTTTAGTTTTTGATAAAAACAAGAAAGTCAAAAGTCAGAAGTTGATTATTATGTTATAGTAATGCAGTTAATCAATGTTTTAGTAATCACATCAATACTTACACACCACATCATTATCAGCCTCCTTGACACATCACGATCGATGTTCCAGTAGGTGAATGGAAGGAATGTGATGTAAAAAATCTCTTCACCCAAGGCAGATGAAAACTTGAACAGGTAGTAGTAGAAATAATTCTTCACAACATATTTCTGTGCATAGTCCTGAAAGTGAAATGTTTTGAGCACATTTCAGTAAACTTATTTAATTAAGTGGTTAGTAGTGCAATTTAACCAATTAGAGCTACAAACCAGAGCATGATACAAGCAGTAATTTGTTGAAATGAAACTCAGGAACTGAAATTTTAGTTTTTCATATAAAAGTGATTTTTATAACTAACTGATATATAGATAAAATGTCTCCTCTCCAAATCCATGATATACAGGCTCACAAACGCATATATGTGCACAAAGGTTTCAACCTGAACTAGTGTCTGGTTTTAAAGGGGCAGACGTGGAACTCTCCTGACCCTAACTTTAGGAAGTTTGTACAGCTTTAGATAAAAGGCAGAACTTTTGTTCTTGACAGAAGAATGTGAGGAGACAAAGCAAAACGCCAAAATTAAATGGAATAGTAAATAAAATAACCAGTGTTCTGAGATTTGCCTCATTGGCTAGGAAGAACAGACTAATAGCTGCCTTTATATGTCCTGAAATATGCCCTATGTTAGGAAATGGCATGTCACTTGCTTCATCCCTCCTTTAGAAACCATTTTTACTTTAAACCTCTATTTTTTCCAACTCTCTTATCCAGAGGGCCACCAGTACAGCCTCTCTCTCAACCTGGGGTGTAAGCAACTCTGGAAACAGCATATCCTTTGTACCATGTGAGTTGCAGCCAAGTCACTGCAGTGGGACAAGAACACTGATAGACCCTGTTAATAACTCAATACATGCTATGCTTCAGGCAGAATTTATATGCTAAACTGCTTAAATTTAACTTCAACTTTTAAAAGAGCTGCATGAGTCTGAACTAAGAATAAAAAATAGTTCTCCTATTTCTCTATACTTTAATACTCTGTGTTTTATCACTCTCCTGCTTTTTTGTGTATCAATACTCAGCATGATTCTACAGAACAATACCTTCCAGAGCATCCATCCCTTAAAACAGCTTATTGTCTGTTATTGCCCATGGAAGATCTTTCATGTTTGTTTCTTGCGGTAGTGCCTAAGGATCAACCAAGAATGGGTACTATTGCCCTAGCTAGACACTGTACGAACATCAAATTGCAGAGGGTCTCTGCCCTGAAGAACTTACAGTATAACTAGACTGGAGAGGAACAGGGTGAAGGAAGGGACAGAACAGACAGACAGTTTACAAAAACAAAACAAAAAAACACACACACCAAACAGCAAGCAAATGGTCTGGTAGCATTTTATAGACTAACAAAACATGTAGATGGGATCATGAGCTTTTGTGGGCACAGCCCACTTCTTCAGATGACTAGAGGATAAGGAAACTCGAAATAATTAGAAGGGGGAGAGGGGGAAGAAAGATGTTCTGTCATCCACCCCCCTACTTTTATGCATAAAGTATCAGGAGAAAGGCTGCTAAACCTGAGTAGATAAAGATTAAAGTCAGTGGATGGATAAGGCAGGAAGGATACCATTCAGAAAATAGTTAGCACCTTCATTGATAAAGTCATCTCAAGTATTATATTCGTTCCACCATTGTGAGGAGGGAGAGGTTGTTTAGTCAGGAGGCGATCAGCTACATGGAAGGAAAAGTGAAGAGAGAGAAGATGCTGAAGGAAAGGGAGGTGGCAGGAGAGAAATGGGGAAGATGGAGCTTGAAGTTGAGATGAAGAAGCTGAGGGGGGGTGGTTGTAGCTGGGGAGAGCTGAAGTAAACTGCCAATCAGTGCAGGGCAGAGAATGTCCAGTCAAAACTGAAGCACTCTGAAACCTGTTTTTTCCCCCTGTGGTTAGTGAGATAGTTTAAAGAGTATTTTCAGTACACACACACACACACACACACACACACAACTCAAATATCCATAGTACATCACACAATGATTATGAGGATCAGTGTAAGAATTTTTTTGAGACCTATATGATGACTCTCTTTGGTACTACACATTGGACCTTGCTGGTCCAGCACCTTTGGGACCTGACTGGTTCCAAATGAGGGGATTTGCCAGACAATAGATGGTCCCTCCCCACGTGGCTCCAGCCTGCCCCAGCTGCTGCCTCAGCTCCCCCAGGGCTCTCCCTGGCTCCACTGCTGCCGGGACCAGAGAACTGCAACTGCCTGGCTCCACAGCCAGGGGCCGGAGCTCTGCAGCCACCTTGCTCTGCAGCCAGGGCCAGAGCTCCACAGCCAGGCTGAAGAGATAGGGCTGGAGCTTTGAGGCCTGGGCCAGAACTCCACTGGGGCTGGAGTTCCCCACCACCGGAGCCAGATTACGGCCGGAGCTCCATGGCCAGGGACGGGGCCAGAGCTCTCTGGGTGCTGCTGGGGGCGAAACTCCCTGGCTAGAGTTCCCAGGCCAGTTAGCTCTGCTGGGACCAGAACTCCCCACCATGCCATCCTTTCCCATCCTCCCCTCCCCGCCCCCACAGGGCTTCTGGCTGAGTCGCCGGTGCCCCCTCCCTCTCCCTGGGCTGTGTGGTTCAGGACAACTGTGGTCCATGCCATTCCATGGATGTTGCCAGTTAAGTTAAGGGAGGCAAAACCTGTAGAAAGTACATGCTAGACTCCAGAGATACCTGTAAGCACTATGCTCCTGCTCTGTGTAAGAGGTTCTTAGCGCACAGATGGTTTGTAGAAGATATTAGTGGACAAAGTCGTTTAGATTACAAGCCTATATACCATGGCCATAGTTTAAAACCCCACATATTAAAGAACTGGAAGTTGGGAAGCAGTTAAAAATTCAACTCTGGCAAAAATGCACCTTCTTGATAGTGTTTAGGCTGACATTTTCAAAGATTCTTTTGAATTGGACACCCAATGCCATTAATTTGAAAAAGTAATTAGACAGCCAAATTCCCCAATCTGCTCAGAAAATATCAACCAGTGGCAGAATGCACTCCTGCGTTCACCCTCTATCCACTATTGTTATAGTCTTTGTACAAAATAGGCTTTGTGAGGTATCTTTTGAAACCTAATTAACTCCTTCATCAGTAATAACTGATGAATTGCATGTAGCAATGTTATATGTAAAGATATCAATTCACCCAGAATAATGTTGGTGGCATATGTTCAACCCCACATAGTTCCAAGGAGGCAGAACTAGTCATGCAGGCCATAAGCAAGGGAATGTGTGTTTACCTCAATTTACATATAGTCACAGAGTCCTTGGAGCGCACGGGAGGGGGAAGACAGTAAAACAAAATCTGCAAAGGCAGGTAAAAAGAAACAACCCGCATCCTCTTTCACTTCTAGGCACCACACTGCCTTCTTTACTGTTTGAATAAGCTTTGCTTTGAGTGGCAACCTACAGGAAAATGCATCTCAAAGTACGACTGAACTAGAAAAGTGAGAGGCATAGCCACACCAAATTCTCTTTCTCTATCCAAAATCCTCTTTTCTCCTAAAACAACAAAAGAAACAGTCATTAGACTTTGGGAGCAGATCTTAGCCTGAAGGTTGGTTCACCAATGTTATTGGAAACATGTGGTAAGGGACTTCACTTAAATCAAGTCTAGTTTAAGTTTAATCTTTATTTTCCTTGTAATAATTTCTGACTTTTAATGCCTCATTACTTCTACTCACTTGAGATCTCTCTTTGTAGATACATGAACTTGTTTTATTCTTCCATTCTGTGATGGGGAAGCCAACCCCGCACTGACTCCGGCTGCCGGGAGGGGTGGCCAGCCTCCCGGGGAGGGGGAGCAAAGGGCAGAGACCCCCGCCAGGTCAGGGGAGTCGGGGAACGCCGTCCGCCACGGGGTGCAGGTGGTGGAAGGCAGGGAGGTAACCTGGCCGACGGTAGGACCCAGGGGAGCGGGGTTGGACGCCGGCCGGGAGGAAGCAGGAAACCCCGCTAAGCGGGAAGTTTAAAAAGCAGCCCGGAGAGGCCAAGGGGAAGGAGGGAGGCAGGAGACCGGTGCTCGGGCTGTGGCTGCCGGCAGTTCCCTCCCCTCCTAGGAGGCGGTGATGAGGAGGTCCCGGGAGAACCCAAGTGGGGGCGGAGGCTGTGGCCGGGGCAAGCTGTCGGCGGGGACGATGGAGCCGGACCCGGGGAGGAGGCCAAAGCCAGGAGCCACTGGGACGGAGGAAGCCCTTGAACCGGGGGTGAGGCAACGCTCACTGGAAGGCATATACCGTGGGACGCGGGAGGACTAGAGCCGGTGGCTCGGACTTGGGGGTAGGAAAAGGGTTACCGGGGGGAGGGGCTACTGCCCTGGGACCTTACGCTAACCCGCTGAGCAGGTAGCCGGCTACACATTCAAACAAATCCAGCAATGTGACTTGTTTGGGTAGCTTTGTTTAAGATAGCAGCCTGCTATATGTTGACTTCTTTAAAGAGGCAAGGGACCCAATAGAACTTGCAGGAGAGGGCTGGATAATGCAAAATACACATTTTTAGGAGAAATTTAGGACTAGGGGTGTCACCCTGCAAGTATTAACCACAGCTGATGGAAGCCAGGGTATGCTTGCTGACAGCTGCATGGGGCAGAGCTTCGGGACTGTGGCTATCTTGCAGACAAACAGATATGACTATATGCTGTTTGTGAGGAACTGGGTTGGGAGCTAGAACAGCAAGGTGGAAGGCACCACAGGTTGCAGGGCAAGTGGTGATTCATTCCCTCAGTGGTCTGGATTGTGCCCTGGAATGTCATGCAGCTGTAATTCTAGTAACTGTCTGAGGATGACAGTTGCAAGACACTAGAAGAAGCCATATTCACTCACCTAACTAGCCTATGAGTTTATTTAGATCCCCTTTAAATAGGCAAGAGACAGAAAAGAGGAAGTTAATGTTCTTAAACCACCAATTTGATGGGCTTATTCCCCTCAACTGGGCGCTCTCGCCCCGCCCCCTCTCAAAGCCAGCTGCGGCACTCAGGGGTAAGCACCATGGCACACCGTGACACTGTGGCACATGCGCCAGCGGCTGGCGGGACACTCAAAGGCTGCGCCAGCCCACTCAATGGGGGAGGCCGGCGGGAACCTGGTGGGAACCCAGAAACAGTGGGTGGCCGGCCGCGGAGGGGGAAAAACAG